TACAGGCCTCTCTCATCTTTTTAAGTGGGAGAACTTGCACAATTGGTGGCTGACTAAATACTTTTTTGCCCCACTGTACTACTTCACTGAATAGTTTTGCTTTTGAAGTCTTGAAGTATATTCTGCTGCATGTGATTAACCAAAATTATCCTCTCTTTATTAACAGTATATTTTGTGGCACAATACAACACAATGTGTGACTTTATGTAAATTTAATGATCTATTATAAGCTTTACACTGACCCACTGAGAATACTATTGCTTTATTTCCCAGTAACTGAAAGCAGCCATACCAAATTCTAGCTGGTCTGTATTTGGTTCTGACTTGCAGATGAGTTGCAGGGACCCAGTCTTTGATCTGGAACTCCGCGAATTCTCTGCATCACATTGCTGAATAGTAGTGGTTGCCCTGTTGCTACGCCAGCCCCGGCTGGGTTTAGCTGTAGTGACTGGGGCACCACCTGCAACAGTAGTAGAGACTTCCTTCTCTTCTGTCTCTTCTTTGGGATCTGTGATAAAAGTATACATAAAGTACACCTGGATCAAGAAAGGAAATGTCTGAGTTTTTAATATCACAGAGCTGAAACAGATCAAAGAAGTATTTGTCTCTCTTAGGAAAGCAAAACCATTCGTTTATTTTGTCTGTTTCTGAAGAACAAGCAGACTTTTAGGATCCTCTCAACAGGGCAATTGGTAATAATAGAGATAGAGAAGAAGGAAAAGTCCAGCCAAGAAGGCCTTATTCCTCTCTCTTCAGGGGTTTGTCCCACAGAGCAACTACTAGCACCAGATCCTATTAGTATATGTTATCCAGACCACAAATAACAAAACATGAGAGGCTTCGCTCTTAAATATTCTGAGAAAATATCTCATAATAATTCTCACAAATGGGCAGAGTGTTTTAATTAGCTATATCTAATCAAGAAGGCAGGAGTTATTAATTATAAAATAAAACAAATAGTCTATTTTATGAACCTTCTTTCATAGTAAATGCATTGAATACTGTTATATTCATTTCTCTTACCTAAATATGACCAAGACTGGACATAACATTCCAATATAACTTTGTCAATTGTACCAGACTATGTGTACCTATGTATCTGATCTAATAAAGTTCAAGCTCGTAAACAAGAATTACTAAATTCTCACCTATCTAATGAAGTCATGAATCTCAACAGTATTACAGAAAACAAATTATAAAAAGTTGATCCTGAATATTACTGCAGCATGATTTAGCTAACATATAGCAGCTTTACCTCTCGCTACAGAAACTGCAGAGAATCAAAAAGACTCCTCAAAAAGCTTGACTTTTTATTCACTTTGTTTTTAGACAAAACATATTTAATTTCTGTATTTTTCTCTGAATGTTTACTTTTCAGAGAAATAAGACTTAGACTTTCAATTCAGTGATCATCCATTCCTTATTAGTACAAACAGCAGCAAATAGGTATTTAAACAAAACTGAAGTCTTCCTGAAACCAACTTTTAGTCGGCATTTAATCTCAATTTAATTTAATTTAGTAGGCATTTAATCTCAAATCCTAACTGGCTAGCAGAACCAGCTTTTAAAGTCCAAGAAGATGCTGATCAATCCCCCTACGCCACATCCACAAAGGAACAGAGCATATAATTTATGTTAAAGGCAACAGAATTAACAAGTTCTATTTTAGAATAACCTTAATGGCTTATTTACATTTTCTTTAAATAAATACATTATGAACAATACCTTAATCAGAAAGGCAATGGAATCCTTACATAGGAAACAGGTAAAAAAAAAGTTTTTAAAATATGAAAGCTGCAATATTAGTTTTAACTGAAGGTGCTAGCAAGATTCTCAGATCTGAGTAAGTCTTATAATATTGTGTTTGTTTCACATTACACTGTGAAACAAAAGTAGCAATTATGTTAAGTTTTAAAATGTAATTGGCAGAAAACTTAAGAAAGCTCAAACAAAGGGCACTAATCCATCCCATAGTTAGTACAGGTAGTCCTTGTTTAATAACTGCCTCAGATAGTGACTGTTCACAAATATGACAGTAATAAACAGTAGTAAAGAAATAATTTTCCAACCAGTGCGTGCACTTATGCCCAAATTTCTGCCTCTGACAACAATGTATGCTGGAGTGAGAGTAATGCTGATACTGTTACACAAAAGAAATTTATCTAACTCAAATGGCAGCAACCAGAGATCTTCACAGCATCTCCCTCTGTCACATGGTTCCCTTAGCAATCACTTCGCTGGGACCAATTGCAGTTACTAAATGAGGACTACCTGTACAAGAAAGTATTCACTTAAATACAAGAAAAACTCATTATAGGTAATCCACACTTACTGACCACAATTGGGACCAGCAACTCTGTTACTAAGTGATAGTCGTAAAGTGAAACATCACATGACAGCACCAGACTTATGATGTTAGTTCGGGCTGCAGTCATTAAGTGAGTCACTGCAGTTATTAAGCACAATATCACGTGACTGTGACTTACAATTTTCTGCTGGCTTTCCCACTGACTTTGCTTGTCAGAAGCTGGCTGCAAAGGTTCCAAATGGCGACCACATGATGCTGACTGTCATAAATGCGTGCCAGTTACTAAGTACTAAGTGCCCAAATTGTGATCACATGACCACATGGACGGTATGATGGCTGCAAGTTCGAGGATCGATTGTAAATCTCCTTTTTCAGCACTGTCATAACTTCAAATGGTTGCTGAACAAGCAGTCAGTGAGGACTACTTGTATATCAATATATTTTTATGGCAACCACAGATTAGGCTGCTTTTAAGCGGATAAGGTGGGCCAATGGAGTTGGAGAAGGCAGTCTTGTAGATACTTAGGTGTCAAGCCAAGAAGAGCTTTATAGGTCAATTTTGGAGGGGGGTGCTTTCAAGTTAGTGTTTTTTTTTTGTTTTTTTTTTACTCCTGGTGACTACCTGGACAAATCCCTGCAGTTTGCTTGGCAAGGTTTTTCAGAAGTGTTTTGCTATTGCCTCCTTCCTCGGGCTGAGAGGGTGAATGGCTGAAGGCCACCCAGCAGGCTATATGGGTGGGACTAGAACGCAGTCTCCCAGTTTCTACCCTGATGCCTTAACCATTACATCAAACTGGCTTTTTACCAGCATCTTAAATTGTACCTGGAAGCTTATTGGTAACCAGTGAAAGACCTACAGAATTGGTGTTATGTACTCCCAATATTGGTAAGGACACAGGCTACCACATTCTGGCCCAGTTCTAGTTTTCAAAGAATAAGAGCAACTCCATGTAAAGCAATTGCAATAATGCTATCAGGTGGTGATGAGAGCATAGGTCACTGTAGCTGGGTCCTTCAGCACTAGGTAGGAGTGCAATTGGTGCACCAGTCAAAGCCAAGTAATTTTCCCTGGCCACAGCCCCTATCTGCCGTTCTAGCAGGAGCCATGAATCCGGGAGGAACCCCAAATTGCAAATTTACTCTTTCAAGTCTAGTGCCTGTCCATCTAGAGATAACACTGGCATCAACAGAGAATCCAAATGCATAAACAGTAATTCTGTCTTACTAGGGTTCAGCTTTAGTCTGTTCTCTCCTGTCCAGATTTTTACTGCCTCCAAGCATGGAGACAAGATGTCAATGGCATTTTCCTTATAGCAGTGGTTCTCAAAGTGTGGTCTAAGGAGCCCTGGGGGTCCGCAAAGTCAAATAAATATTTTAAAACTTATCCATTTTAATTTCTAACACAGTTAATATTAATAGATATAAATCACATAAACCAAAGCTCTTTGGGATCCTCAATAAGCTTTAAGAATATAAAGGGGTCCTGACACCAAAATGTTTGAGAACCACTACCCTATAATAATGGTGATGTCATCAGCATATTGATGATACTGTACCCTGAACCATTGAGATGACCTTACCTAGTAGGCTTTGTGTAGATATTAAAAAGTATGGGAGAGAGGACCAACCCCTGTGGTACACCATAAATCAAAGGCCACCAGACCGACCTCTCACCCACTCTCCAATTGAAACTACCTACTACGGATCAAGCAGAACCACTGCAAAACTTCCTCCAATCACCAAACTCCCTAGGTGGGCCACTAATGCACCACAGTTGATAGTATCAAAGGCCACTAGGAGATCCAAAAGGATGAAGAGGGGAGCACTAACCCTATCTAAGTCCCAACATCAAGGACTTGTGTTTCTGTCCCACGTCCAAGCCTGAAACCAGACTGAAAAGGGTCCAGATATCCACTTCAGCTAGGGTGCTAGTCTGCTACCATTATCTCAACAATCTTCTCTCAAAAGGGATGGATAACAGTTTTCTAAACCCACAATTCCAAGGAAAGATGCTTAAGAAGGGGGGCACACCACATCCACCTTTAAGACTGCCAGAAACTCCTCTTCTCAGAAAGAGCATTGACAATTTCCTGGATCCAGGTGGTTCTGCTCCTCACAACTGCTAGGATGGGCAAGGGGCAAGAAGCAGGTAGTAGATGAAAACCTAGACAGCACTCTATCTACTTTCTTGGATGTCACAGACCAAAAGGAGTCCCAGACATCATAAGATGGTGCCATAGTCACTATTAAGGATTCTGCTTGAATTTATCAGCAAAGTGCTGTGCAAATGGATCACAGCAGCCAGATGGGAGATTTTCATGTTCTGTCTTCCTCAAAAAGGAATTAGTTACTTTAAGGCTTCTGAATGACAGCCTATTGGTGCAATAAGGGAGGAGAAATAAGCATGTTCTGCCTTCCTTACTGAAACATTATAGGCTTGAACATGGGCACATATCCATGCTTAGTTAGATTTGCTTCTTTCTTTCTCCACTGACACTCCAGACATCATTTCTGGCACTTCACTTCCCAAAGGGCTGCAGAAAACCAAGGTGCCAACTGAGATTGGTTGCTGGGGGACGCGGCAACCAAGCTGGGAGCGATATTGTCCAGTGCCTTGAGTGCTTCCTGTTCCACTTATGTATCAAGCATTGGAGAGAACTGCCTGCCAGAGTGCTGGGAAACTCACCACCATCTGCTAGAAACCAAATTAGCTGCCTGAGATAGACCATCCAAATGGGTTCCACTGTCCTAAAAGGTCAGGAGTGGCACTGAATTGTAACCAGATGAAGGAATGATTTGACCATGGCAACAAGGTGATGAAAACCCCCTCTTCCTCCAGATCAGCTCAAGCTCAGGGAGGGATCCAGTCAAGCAGCATGGCAATTGGTATATTAGCTTGTCACAAGCTTGTCTCTATACCTCAATCTAACAAAGAAGCGCTCACATCCCATTAACTCAAAAGCAATATTCCTGACCATTGATAGTGTCTCTAACAATCAGCATCATCCTTCTCTCCTTGCTAGGTAATTTAAATCTTACCTTTCACTGTTGTTTTATCCAAGCACCTGAAATAGAAATGAAATATAAGATGTGAATTTCCACTACAACCGTAAATACAATAGCACAACAGGTAATATTCATTTTAAGTACTATTAGAATGTCAGCAAGACACAGTATACCCTCGTGTGGTGCAATGTTAATTTTGGACTATGACAGAAATTGCAGGTACAAATTCTTATTAAGCCATGAAGCTCCACTTGAACAAACATTTCTCAATTTAATCTATTTCATGGGATTGTTGTAACTATAAAACTGGACAAAACAACACTATGAATATCCTATTAGAATCTTCAGAAAAAGGCAAATATAGCAATAATAATAGGAATAAAATTCTGATTACAACTGTTGATATTACAGCTTCAGAAAAAATATTACGCTGTAGATGCTTATGAAAGATCCTAAATGTATGTTTTTCTAGTCATCTCACTCAAATATTTACCTTACACACACAGAAGCCAGGCCTACACAAATCAAGGATGTTTGTCTTTATTACAATACAACAGCAAAATTAGCAATATGACAATAGGTGTGCAAATCTGTTTTTCCCCCCAATATTCCCCCCACCCAAAGCATACCTTATTTCCAGTCTGAAATAATTTTAGGAATATTCACTCAGAAGTCTCATTGGACACTATGGGACTGAAAAGATGCAAACAGCTAAAGTGCAAATTGATTAGAGCTATATAAACAGGTACCCATACTTTTCTACAACATATTATGCAATTACGTGATTAAAATGTAAAATACTGATGTTACATAATTTATTGAGCAATACTACATGTCTACTGTAGAAAGTGATACAGAGAACAAGAAATCTAGTACACTTTGAGTTAGGATGCAAGAGTTCAGTTAGATAAAGGCATCCAACAATCAATATTCTTCTAAACACCACAATCTACAGCAAACGTGGAAGGCAACTGCCTCTCTAACATGGAACCACAGTAAAGTCAATACTAATCCTTACTTTGATATTACCAGTAACGCAATTTTCCGCAACCGAAAATCACCGTGCCACAAAAGCCAACAACTTTCTACCTTCCAAAAACTCTAAATGGCTTCGATACTTACGAGCTGCGTGGCGTGCCCTTTCTACCGGTAGTCCCAGGCGGCGCGGTGGCTGACGGCGGCGCTCCTGCCTCAACTCCGGGTGCAGGCGGCAACTCTTCCGGCTCTTGGCTCTGCCGGGCGCCGGAACTGCTGCGGCGCCGGCGCGGGTATTCGGCCTTTCTTCGGCGGGA